CCTTTTCCTGCCGGCGCGCAGCAGGAAGCGCGGCCTCCCGGCCCCCCATTGTCCGGGACGGCCCCGGGGGCCCCCGCCGGCCCCTCGCCCTCGGAAGCCTTCGTGTCCGCCAGCGGGCACTCGGCCCCGGGAACGCCCGCCCCTGCCCTCCCCTCAGCGGTGGGCAGCGAGGTACGGAGCCAGCCTGGGGCGGCGAGACGGGTGACCCCCCTGGGTCGAATGGAGGAAATCAGTCTAAATTTCACGTTCCCTTGAATCCCGTTACTGCAGTGAATTTATAAATAAACAAGCCTCTGGCACCTAAATACTCGTGGCACCCCGAGATTTTACCTGGGTTGTACTTCTAAATGACACTGCATTTGATATATTCTAACTACCAATGTTTTCCTTTCATATCCCACCACAAAACTATTTTTGAGTCTCAAAGAGGACCAGAGCACACTCTTAGCACAAAATTTTATTTTGCCCCGAGCTATGCTTTTTACAGTTTATACACATTTTACAGCTAAAAACCAGGAGTTCCAATTTTACCATGCGATAACCCCATTTCCTTTTGTATTCAGGATCATTATAGCCCTTAGTAAAACATAAACTGCAACAAACTTGTAGCAAGACAAAAAAAATTAGTACAAGTAACCCTCTCTCTCATGTACGGACGCCTAGGATTTTGAACATCCCCTGACGATAAAGGATGCAACACAACGCCCAGAGAAACGAGTACCAGCGCAGCCTACACCCCACCCAAAGCCGCCTGCGTTAACAGAGGCCTCTCCATTACTGTCCAGAGATGGGGAAATAAGCCCCCTCCCTCTACTTCAGACAAGCCTTTAAACAGCATTTCTTCATACTTGCATATGCAGTGAAAATGAGGTATAAATTACTTGCTTTCCGCAGGAATAATCTAAACTAATAAATTTAAGGAGAAGCAGACATTAGTATTCTGACCCAAGTACTTTCATTTTGCACATTACTTTTCTAGGTGATTTCAGCAACAGCAATGAACTTAAGGTGTCCGAGCAGACGTTAATGTTTCTTCAAAACAAGCATACAAGATTTGTATCAAAGATGGCCAAAACAGAATACGTCAAAGTCTGCGTTACCTTCCAACAGCCACTTCGTTTTCTAAGGCTTTGATGATGATTAAGACACAGCAGGCCATCTGATTCTCATGTGATAGTAAAGGTTGCACTAAGTGGGAATAAAGAATCCAAAAAGAGTCAATACAAATATTTACATCTACTTCTGTAAAATTTAAAAACCTAATACTCTGACAAATGCTTTTATATCTAAAAGAGTTAATGCTGACTGCATGTTAAAATGTCCCATTTACCCAAGCTCCTCCTGAATGTGCTCAAGACTGTGCCTGTGTCAGCCCTGAAGCAGCTACTCGCACATTACACAGGAAACGTTACCTTCAAAAGCTCTGGCAGCAATAGGTCCAAATAAAAGTTCAAAGGACTTTTTTAGAGAGTGCTGTATTTCTCTACCAAGACTGTAAAAAAAAAAAAAAAAAAAAAAAAAAGGGGAAAATCATCAGTTTGATTTGCTGCAGTAGATAAAAGTTGAATGGAATTTGTAATCTTTGACCATCATAAAAAGTTCTGTCTTTTAAGAAAAGGCTGAACTTGAACATTTGCACATAGTTCGAGCAGCAAATCAGTGAGTTCCAACAAGTGCTTTTATATGGAGTGTGGTTTTGGGGTTGGTTTTTTTTTTTTGAAACTTAAGAGCAACCAACCATGCTTCAATACGAAGGCAAAGCGTTAAATTCTGAGGTTATTTAGAAGAAAAAATGCTTTCACCTTGGTTTCTGAAACTGAAACTAAGTAAGAGGGCAGTTCCTTCCCACCTCCCCGTTCAGAGGGGGGAAAAGAAAAAAAGTCTTTTATTAAAGCAGTTAAAGTTTCTGTAACAGGTGGGTAGTTAAGACAAATTTTAGTGTTCTTGCTCTCTGGCTTTATTGAAATCCTTGGAATAACTGCTTGAACCTCAAACTGAACTAGGCTTTTCCACGACTGTACCCTTGCCTGTGTACCTTCAGTGACTAACTGTTCTCCCAATGAGGACTAAATCCCTAAGAGCCCTAGAAAAGTCCTATTACTGAGAGGTTTCTCTCCAGGAGCAATTTCTCATCATTCACAGCCTTTATCTCTCTCAGGCTACTGAATACACAAGCAGGCAGAGAGTTCTCCAACACCAATTACAACATGCACAGATGTGAAAAAACCCTCTCGCAACAGAGGCAACAGTACCATAAGCAAAGAATTTCAACTGCCTGAGTATTTCACACGAGTACCTATCACGGCTGCAGTTCTGAGACGCAGCAACATATTTGCTGTCTGGAATGTGGAGAGGAAGGCACAAGCTTCTCCCCCAATTCTCAGCACTCCCAGGGGTCCAATTCAAACGTTTCCTCTGACATTACCAAAATTGCAGCTAAACTTCAAGCCACGTGGATGCTGTTTGACCAATACCTTGCTTAGGAATGGCATGAGAAATGCTTTGCAGCCACTGGAGACTTGCTTGAAAACTATATTAAGTCACAGTACAATTTTGCAAAAAGTCTAAACCTTGCTACTTATATACAAGGAACCATGAGAGCAGCAGCAATTAATTAAAAAAAAAAAAAAACCACCAACATTTTTCTGCATTCTTCTGAACTTTTAGCTACTCTTAAAAGTCAGCATCCAAATCTAGAACAAATATTGACGAGTTCAGATTTCCAGTGTTAAAAGTTAAACACATTTAGAATTACAAGCAGAGCTGCAGTCTCTACGAGAGCTCATGAGACAACACAAGCAATACACAAGGTGAAGCTGTAATTTATAAAGTCTCATCTGAGCCTCACACTCTGCTTAAAGGACTTAGTGTAAAATAGACTAATCTGATTTTTCTTAGAGCACTGTCACCCTAACATGTTCAGGTGTTGTGAGTACAAATATGAGATTTTCCTGTCATAAAAACATCCACCAATTATGCTTCAGATAGCAAGCCACTACTATTTTGCTATTAAAAAATTTACTGATGACATTTTAGAAAAACTCCTATTAAGAACACTTAAAAAAAAAAAAAAGACTTCTAACGTAATTTTCATACAGAGTTTATGAATCCAGGGCTGGTTTAGTAAAACTCATGCCTTCCAGTGCTGGTCTCACGAGGTAACAATCATCATTTCTGCTACTGTTTACAAGTCAAATGGTCCACTGTTTAGCAAAAACTTAAATAAAGGGATGACTGAGAAAAAATTTTAAATATTGCACAAATAATTTAACTGCAGACAGTACAAGACACTTAAAGCATTGTTTTTTTGTCAACATATGAACTCTATTATATAGTCACACTTTCTATAATACAGTTATTTTTTTTACAAGACATTTAAATTCAGCATTTACATAAACAATTATCTTTACAATCTGTTATCATATAATGTTAATTTGCAGGAATTAATTTTGTCTTTGTTTTAAAAGTTCATCTATCTGAGTCTTGTACATGTTTTTCACATCTTCGAGATCCAGTCGGAGTTCCTCAGCCTCCTCCGCTTTCTCCCCATACATCTGAAGAATTGTATTGTACCTTTGATCCAAATCCTGCAAGGACATGTGGTTTGTTATCTGACTGTTTTTCAACTTAAAAAAAGTTCCTGTTAGGATAGTGTTTTACACTACGAGGAAAAATAAGTATAGCATTATTTTATCAAAGTATAACTACTTTACAATGAAGCACACAGTAAACTCTTGAAAAATACTTCATGCTTCGACTCTCTGAATATGGCTACATTGATACTCTAGACAGAAAAGCGAGACACTCCAAAGATCCTTCACTACAAAGAATTAGTGCTGGCTTTGGAGGATGCGCTGGAGCACCTTGGAACAGTTGGAGCGGGTACAGAGGAGGGCCACAAAAATGATCCGGGGGCTGGAGCACCTCTCCTGTGAGGACAGGCTGAGACAGTTGGGGTTGTTCAGCCTGGAAAAAAGAAGGCTGTGGGGAGACCTGATTGCAGCCTTTCAATACCTAAAGGGGGCCTATAGGAAAGATGGGGAAAATCTTTTTAGTAGGGCCAGCTGTGACAAGACAAGGGGTGATGGTTTTAAACTGAAGCAGGGTAGGTTTAGACTAGATATAAGGAAGAAACTCTTTACAATGAGGGTGGTGAAACACTGAAACAGGTTGCCCAGAGAGGGGGTGGAGGCCCCATCCCTGGGAACATTCCAGGCCAGGTTGGACGGGGCTGTGAGCAACCTGATCTGGTTAAAGGGGTCCCTGCTCCCTGCAGGGGGGTTGGGCTGGGTGACCTCTAGGGGTCCCTTCCAACCCAAAACAGTCTATGATTCTATGAAGTTCAACTGCTATAAGCATTAAAACCCACCAAACTGCACTAAGTTTTACTATGGGAATGACCACAGTTTGTGAAAGGCTTCATGGGGAAATTTAACATTCTGCATTTAAAGAACAATGATGATTTCCAAAACTATTCCAAAACTATTTCCAGTATTTCAATTTAAGTTCTTAAACATTCAGAGGATTAAAATATTTGGCCAATTACCTGTAACAGCACTGCACACTCATTCAGCTTCTGCATCAAACTCTCGTAAATCCATGCTATTTATCAAAACACCCCCTCCTCTGAAAAGACTACGCTCATTCAAGACACTTGTCTGGAAGAAAAAAAATGTTCTCTCCCCGATTTGACATGCAATCTTACTCACAGTGCGCATTTCTAACAACTGCATTTTGAAGTGACTACCTAGTGATGGAGTAGGCATTTTCAGATCCTACTATACCAAAAAACCCAAAAGAAACCCCCAGGCTCTTCAGTCATTTATGATTAGGGACAGATTTAAATATAATTCTAAATTGATAGGGGTAATCCTAAAAAAACCCAAACATGTCAATTTTACATCAGCTTTACAACATAAATTTACTTACCTTTAACTGTGAACGTAATTTGGGTATTTCCTTCACTTTTTCTTCAAGTTCATCATTTTGATTTGTTAATTTAACCAGTTCTTCTGCCATTATCGACCGAGTTTTCTCAAGGTTTCCAATTTCCAGCTAAGGTAAACACTTTTAACAATTAGGAGGAAGGAATTTATCATATTTATAAAACACTGTATCAAAATATTTTGATACAGTAAGTAAGGCTTTTTCTTAAGCCAGACTTTGAAACAGCACACCCTGGAAGCACTCTCACTTCCTTCTCCAATCTGATCAGTAGTTTGGTTTTGGGTTGTTTGGTTTTTTTTTTTTTTCCCTTTTCTTTTTCAGAGAGACAAGTTCAGTTTTCTGGATAGGTCCTTGCCAAAACAAAAAAGGAAGCAACAAATCCTTCTCTTGCCCTTCCCTAC